CCCCCCCTCTCTCTCTCTCTCTCTCTCTCTCTCTCTCTCTCTCTCTCTCTCTCTCTCTCTCTCTCTCTTTTCCTCCCTTAGCTACGTGAGGTGGGAGGAGGTGCCCCCACCCTCCAAACACCTCTTCACCTTAGAATTAATTCACGTAAATGTCACACCTTACACTCCGCAGCCCCAGGCTAGCTTGCGCACTCTGTGCATCTGCTGCTTTCTTTTCTTCGGACAGTGTGCGTTCGTCGCTGCATTGTGCAAAATTTGTTGGGTATTTCCCGATGGCTCAATCTCAACCACTTCTAGAAATTCCCGGAAGACTACGCGTGAATATAGTTTTAATGTCGTAAAAAACGGGTGTTGTTGGGGGGAGTTGTAAAAGTCGTCCGTGTATTTCGAAGTTAACTCGATCCGCGAAATCTACTGAGTCCTGTGGAAAATCCTTGGAAAAAGACTTTGTCAATTTTTTAGTGACTGTTCCTCTGCGTAAAATCCCAGATTTTTTGCCAAGAGTGTGAGCGTGGCGCGGGCTCATGATGGCGGTATTGAAAGGGTCATTTGCAGGATCCCCCCAAACAACTGGCGCTGAATTATTGATGTCAAGGAAGACCGCCGGGCCAGCGCGTCCTCGCCCGAATGGCCAGGGCGCTCCAGTTCCTTGAGAAGAGCGGGAGCAGGGCGGGGATACGCGGGCATAAGAGTTTTCTCCACTTCCCCTTCCATTTTCCAGCGTGCGGCCGCCGCTGCATAGAGACGCACTGATTTTTGTTAAGATTGCGGATGTCTCCCTGCCTTTTGTCACGTTCATTTATCTGTCCGTGAAGCTCCGCGTAGAGAGCCTCCCCCAGGTACGGCCCACCCCCGGCCCCCCGCCCCCTCCCTCAGGCTTTTGCAGACGCGGGACAAGTCACAATGAGATCCCCCGTGACCCCCCCAGCCAGTCCTCTGAGGGGCCCGAGGAGTCTCTCCGTTCCGCACTCTCGCCCTCTCCGTCGCCCTTTCTATCTCCTCCTGCCGCCGCTCTCTCGCCTCACCTCCTCGCCTCTCCAGGAGAAGAAGTGGCAGGACGCAAAGATGGAGGCCACACCGGCGCGCCGAGCCGAGCCACGGCCCAACTCGCCCCGGTGCGCGGAACGTTCGGAGAAAACTTTTGTATCCGCGTGCGGCTGTGGGACTGCACGGCACGTACCGCCCCGCCCCGCCCCTCCCCGCCCAACTCAGTCGGCCCGCTCAGGCCTGCCCTCATTAATTCGAGATGTAACAGGATGAATGTTTGAAAGCCTACACTCCATTTAGCAAGTCAAACTTTGCCGGAGAAAAAGCTAATGCTGGCGAGGCTCCGTGGCCTTCCCGTCCCACATACCGCGCCCCGGGCCCCCTGCTCCTCCTTGCTCCTCGCGCGCGTTGCCGATTCTCTGTGAGCCGAGGAGCGAAAGGGAAGGGGAGGGAGGGGGATGCGAGTCCTGAGCAGCGCATATTTCCTTCAAATTTATGCAACACAACACGCAGCGCTACGCTCTGCCTCCACGCCCCGCCGCGCCACGCCACGTCCCACCGTCGAGACTGTTCCCAGCGCCCCATCGCCACCGCCGCCCCCTTACCTACCTCGCACCCACGGCTTCCCCTCCACTCCCGACCCGCGTCCCAGCCGCGGGACAAATGCGGCAGCGCCAAACGTATTTACAATTCTGCTTCGGCGTTACTCACGGCCGGTTTCACGGCGGCTGCCGCCCTTGCTCTAGAGCCTAATGGCGCGCCCAGCCGGTGGCGGGGCGGGACCGTGTGGTGTGGGGCGGTGCGGGGTGGGCGTCGCGACGGCTCGGTGGTGAGAGCGGCCACCCGTCCCCCGCTTGCGCGCCGTCTCATCCTGCACCCGCACACCGCAAGCCTCCCTCACGCCGCAGGAGCTGCTGGAAGGAGGGCCCCCGGCTGGGTAGGCACAGCGCCAAAGCCGTGAGCCCCGCGGACGGGCGGATTGCCTACTCCCTTTTCCGTGGGCGCCTCGTCGTGCTATGTAGGTACATTGGAAACGCAGGTGTTTGAATGTCGCACACTGAAAGGTGTCTGTACTTCCGTTCGTACTCTTACGGGAGTAAAGGTGTGAATTGCCCTATGGAATTTCACACACTTGCACCCTTGTGTGTACACACACCGTTGACCGCGGTGTTCACACACCTACAAGTGTACAACATTCACACACTTGGGTTTTTGGCGCAAGGACGGGCGTCGAAGCGCTGTAGTGCGTCGCGGCATGCCGTGCACACATCTGGCGTGCGGGTTGCCTACTCGCGCTGGGTATAGGCCTCCGGGTTGCCTTCTCTGGAGTGCGTCGCTGCCCGCTAGAGCTCGCGTGTCCGGATGCACTTAGCGGCGCGGTGGGCGCGTAAACAAAACGCCATTACACGACGAGGGGTTATTAAAGTACCCCGGGGGAGGAAGTCTGCAGGGGGAAGGTAAAGAATAAAAAAAGGAAAAGCCAATGAGGGGGCCTTAAAAAGACCATAGGCCGCTGATAAGCATGAGCGCTGAGGGCGCGACTGCCCCAAGGACTGCCCCCCGATGGCTTGTTGGAGCCGATATGTACCGGGGAGGTGGAGAGGTGGGGGGGGGGAGTGACTTCGCGGAAGGCTACTTACGTGCGCCGCTTTGGGTGGGCAGCGACGTCAAAATGACGTTAATTTTTCGCAGAGTCCGGTAATTACAGCCGCAGAGCAATTAGCAAAGCTACACGCGTCCAAACAAGGGGCCTGAAGAAAGGGGAGGGGGTTGGACAGAGTGGGGTTCTTACTTAGCACGAACTGAGGGGGTGGCGGCGGTGGCGTTGGGGAGGTCGTCCCGAGGTCGAGTCCTGCGAGCAATAATTACTGCTGCAAGTTGTCGTCTCGGGGCGATAGTTTTGCCTGATCTCACGGATGACCGCTCGCGGCTGCTATATCTTCGCTCTCTCGCTCCCTCCCACTTCCCTATGCTCCGGTCGGATAGGGCTGTCCGGCCTGGCCATTGCAGACACGCGACGGAGCGGATAATTTTTCATTTCTATACAGTGATCGGGGGGAAGGGGGTCGGCAGCAGTCGGAAGTCAGCGAGTCACTTCGGCCGCACTTTGTCTCGCAGACCGGCGGCGGCGGGCGGCGGGCCAGTGACTGTTAACTGCCATGATCAGAGGCTAGCGCAGAAGGAGAGAGAGAGAGAGAGAGAGAGAGAGAGAGAGAGAGAGAGAGAGAGAGAGAGAGAGAGA